GGGCAAGTTGGACCCTCATATTACCCACAATCCTTTGCGCGCAACGCTGTTTGAAATAAACAAGTTGGTGAAATTGACAAAGCTTGCCGGTGTTTACCGTCTGATTGATTTCATTAAATTTGCTCTCTGGTGTCTTTTCGAAAATTTATATTAGAAATGTTCTGTTGATTGTATGTATTAAAAAGTAAAACCATTGAACTTTCCTTAGAAAAACATTTATTTTGCCTTAATTCATTTTATGGGGATTCCCTTTGTATTTATAGTGTTATAGCCTATGTGGTCCCAAGGGGATTTTCCACCCCTCCCTAGCTAGAGATCATTGTTGAAACAAACTCAATGGTTTAAAACTGAATTTGTTACTTTCTTTTAAAACGAAAATTTATTATTCGTTTTCATTCATTAAAAACCTGCTTTATACCATTATTAATTTATTCTTAATTAAAACAAAACAAATCTTATTGATAGATATTTTGGTTCTTGCAACACATACCCCCCCCCCCCTACAACGGAAACCTCAATAAATCTGCCTCATTTGAACTATTTATTCATCAAAGACTCTAAAAAATCAATTTAATAAATTGAAAATGTATAAAAATGTATTTCAAGGCGTTTACATGGGATAGCCTATACACTTCATTTTCCCGTAGCGGGGCAAGTTGGCCCCCTTGACGTCAACTGCGTCTTTTGTCAAATTGTGAGCCATCTGGCATTATATTTGAAAAATAATGACGTTGCATACGTAGCTTAGTTCATGGGGTTTACTTTGAAACCGATTTTGTTACTCTAACCTATTCCTAGTTGGCTCTACAAGGCGAAAAGTGTCTAACTGGGCCAACTAGCCCCGGTCTCCCCTACTTTTCTCAACCCAGACTACATCTCAGAAGAATAGCACAGTGACCTGTACATCCACAGAGTCGACTTTTTCCAAAATAGAACAAAACTCAGGCCTGTAGCCAGCAATTTTAAAAGGGGGGTTCTTTTTCTGAAAAAGTGGACCTTTTCCCATAAAAACCTCATGTACCTAGATCAAAATTTACCCAGAGTGGTCTTTTCCACGCAAAAGGGGCGGTTCTTTCGAATCCTCCGAACCCCCCCTGGCTACGGGCCTGAAACTACATGTATTTGCCCTACATTAAGCCCCCCCTCCCCCATCCCCCCCCCCCCCAAACACTCCAAACAATTCGTACACCGGTATTCTCACCTTGCCCCTGTTACGCCAATGTCGTCCCCGTACCTCACCTCTACGTAATCGTCACATGTCACATATGGGTACATCGTGCAAGGAAACCCAAAACGCGCCCCAGTAAATCTTACAGCGATCAATTTGTCATGTGGTGCCTTGAAAAATAAAATGACGGAAAAAATGCAATAGCATTATATTTTAGGATGGAGTACATTTACAGTACCAGAGGTAGGTACCTGTACATCTACAGGTAGTAGCCTAGTCACTGCAAAAAAAAAATTGAAATTGAAAAAGTCGATAATTTCACGACATAAATCACCGCCCGTGTTCTTCAATTATTTGCTATACATTAAGTGAAGAATGAAAGATAACACAGGACACTGCAAGATTCTTTTTTTTTTCCCCTAGGTGCACCCTTCATTTTTTCGCACATTACCTTTATAAGCCAGTTACAAGTCTGGCCCTTTTTGTATGAAAAATGTTCAAATTCGTTGATATAGTTGGGCGAATATATTGATTGGTTGAAGCTTTCTGCAGGAATAACCCCGCCGCAGGGATCAGCTGAAAGACAAAGCACTCTTGTATTACATAAAAAAGTATCGTCTTTTCCTACAAATAGCTCTTTTTGTAATTTAACCCTGTGTTGTAGCTGTTTAACTTTGTATAATACATATAGCTTAAACGTGTTTCATAGGAACGGTTGTAATTATCAATTGCGAAAACAAGCATGGGAGATCTGGATAGGATGGCTAAATATATCTATTATTCAGATTTCTGAAAGGTTAACCGATTTTTGAAAGATCAACTGCGAATGGGATGGATGGAAGGAAAATCAATGAGAGTATAATGAAGCAGCATTTTGTAACCTGTGTTTTAGTTGAAATTATGAAGTGGTATGGGCCTACTCAGTATTTGTATAAAAACAGATGATGGACGAACATGAAATCAAAAGAAAAACAGAGGTCAAAAAGATTAATGTTAAAAAACCGTAGATATGGATTCGTTTTTTTTACCTGATTGATTGAAAAATATGTTTCACTTTTTAAGCAGCTATATTTACCTCCAGTGTATCGCTCGTGCCATTCACAGAGGTCACCGCTAAAGCCTTGGGGACACCGACATCGGTGACAAGATTTCGGGTCGGGATATCCACCATGTTGGCACTGAAGGTTCATCACGCTGTTGCGGCAGGTGTCTACATGACAATTTGGAAACTGTTGAATATTTTGGTACTTTAAAACATTTCACACTCACAGTTACAAGCTGCTTACTGTCTTACCCTCTGAAACGCTAACGCTTTTAACCACTTTTACCACGTTGTTACATTTGATTTTTTAAAGCCTTAGCAGCAAGTTTTTAAACCGACCTCATAATTACGAATCTGTGAATAAAAGTGTGGATCAATATCAATGTTATCATTAACAGAAGTGTGGTAGGCAGTGGCCAAATGTTTCTATGAAAACACGTCATACATGTGGACAACTTTATATTTATCCTGGCACAAGTGAGCCCAATACATCTACACTTTACGTAAAGACAAACTTTCAATTTATAAAAATTAAGTGAAAAAGTAGACTCTGCAAGGTCTCTGACAGATTTAACTTCATTTATTAATTTATTTATTTACTTTTAATTTAATTTGGTCTCCGTTTTATTTAATGTCCCTGATTTTAGTTTTGCGTTAATTTCACGAAGTTAATGCTGTAGGCTCCTCCTTTCCAAAGAGACTCGACTACGCATAGCTAAAATATCTGTTACCAAAGATTCTAACCCCGTTACTGTCTCTAAACATGCCGAAAGACTGTTCGACTCACCGTTACAATAGAAATAGTTCACAGTTTTAGCGTCATAAAACTGGATGGTGGTGTCGGTGGCGGCACCTATACTCAACTGCAGGAGCGGATCTTTGGCACGTATTGTCACAGATTCCCACGTCTTCCCATAGATCTGAAATGATTCCACACTATGCTTAATTCATTTAGATTCTCAAATTTAGAAGGAAATATCAACATCGGGTATGCTTCAGATTCACTTTAACGTGGAGATTTTGTCGTTTATAAGGTCTGGAATGGGCAAGATGGGACGTTTTGGCTTAATGTGGGACACTTTCAAATGCGAGCGGAATATCTTTAATGCTCTGTTGCAGTAACTTACATGAGGACCATAATGCATTAGAGATGCAACATCATAAGGAAACCCCAGCGTGGTGATGGATCCTTCCGGCTTTTTAGAAAACTGTTTCTTCGTGCTTTCAAAGTTCGTCAAATTCGACCATATAATGTCAATGTACCGGTCCCTGTCGGGTCGTGCGTGCTCATGGTATAGACCTAGAACGTGGCCGAACTCATGGGCTACCGTCTGGACCTGCAAGGAATGTGTGAAGATCGGTATTTTCTGGTCCTGGTGGTGTAAAGATTGGATACGCGTGTAAATGTGAAAGTGAAAGCGACCCAACGTGCAAAATCGCCATTGAAGCTGTATTCAACGCACATTCACAATCACTGTACATTTCCTGTACATTTACAGTATTTCGGAATGAAATCACGATTTCCATGCGGTATGTACCATATTTTTACAGTTGTGATCGAATTAATTGCCTCTAAATTAAAGAATATATACTAGTACTACCGTTAAACAGCGATGTCCCAGGAACAGGACCTGACGGTTCCCTGTGAAAATGTAGATTCTTCCGGCCCCAACACCACATCTGAATACGTTATATGTAGAAAAAATGTAATATACAGTAACACTATAATATATATGCGATATCGACGTCCGCGGTATGAAGAGAGGATGCTTCCACTTGTCATTTTAATTTTAAGGCGGGTCTAGAAAAGGGAAGGCAGTGTGCATGTTTTTTTTTTTTTTGTTTTTTTTTAATATTTTCTTTAGCTTTGGCAAAATTTGTGAACTTGCCACTAAAGCTGACGAACTTAAATCTTTTTTATGGTCAGCTTTAACAAAAAGTCGTAAAATATTCACTGGAGCTTACAAACTAGAATCTTGCGGTTTAACAAGAACAACGGTCGTCCTTTCGTATTCCTCTTGGTCTTCCACCTCCCGGAACTTCACACACGTCTCTAGTTCCCACTCACTGATGGCAGCACGGACTATTTTTCTGTCACTTTCGGCTGCAACGTAACGTTTGCTGGGTTATAGTATAAAATGATAATGACACCTGTTCAATAATGCTTATAAACTTTTATCTGTTAAAATAAATACTCATTTATACAATTGCTTTA